CTATCATTTATGAATATCACTTTTGAAAGCCTTTCAGTTCTCATTTATACCCTCATCAAGGATATCCTTGATATATGTATAGATTATTACAGAATTTTGTGCATAATACTATTTAATTTGAAATTTTTTTTATTCTGAAATCCACAAACACAAAAGAAAACAGACATGTTGAAGATAGAATAGAAAAAGAGACTTGTACGTGAAACTGTGGATCTCTGTTATGTATGACTACTATTTTTTAAAAGTATCTTTTAAAAAAGTATCTTTTTATAAAAAGTATTTTTAGAAGTTCAACTCATCCTACTTTTCTGTGCTTCTTTTCAGTCTTTCTTCTGTTCTCTTCTTTGCATTAAAAAAAGATGTCTAAAAATCAACTTTTTTCTTTTTGGCTACCTTATCTCTATTCTCCCTTTCCCTGCTGACTCTCTCAACCTCCCAGCCTAAGGGAGGGGTATAAAAACAAAGTTTTTAAAACAAATACACATGGCACCACAAAGTAACACATTGGCTATGGAATTCTTATTCTGCATCTTGAGTCTTTTACCTCTCTGTACCTTTACCTTTCAAAAGGTAGGTAGCTTGATTAATTATCAGTTGTTTATAATCATGATTGGTCATTGCATTGCACAGAGCTCTTAAACCTTTCAAAGTAGTTTTTCTTTATAATGCTACTGTTTTTGTATAAATTGTCCCACTCTGTATCATATAGTTATTGCCAGGTTTCTCTAAAACTATTCATTTTATTTTTTCTTATGGTACCAAAATAATTTATTATATTCATATCCCACTATTTATTTTGCCATTCCCCACTAGGGCACTGGGCACCTCCTTAGTGTTTAGTTCTTTAACAAAGAGAAATGCTGTCAATATTTTTTGTACATAAAGACAACAGTTTTTGTGAAAAAGATGAGGAAGTCTTGGTGGACTGCAAGGTAAATATGAAGCAAGAGTGTGAAGAAATTGTCAAGAATGCTAATATGAATTTAGACAGTATTAAAAGAAGTGGAGGGTTCAAAACAAGTGAGGTCATAGTGCCCTGTTTTCTGCCCTAGTTATATCATATCTTGAGTACTGTGTTCATTTCTGGATGTCACATTTTAAGGGGAAAATTGAAAAGGCTAAGAGAAGGTTGATCAAGATGGTGCATTGTGATAGGATTAGTTATTCTTTGTAGCTTCTGGAGGCAGAACTAGTACCAATAAGAAGAAATCAAACAAATATCTGTTCATTATAAGAAAGGAAAGTCTAACCATTGGACCTATCCAAACATGTAATGGATTACTTTATGAGTTAGAGAATTTTACATCATTGGAAATGTTCAGGCTGTCCCCTCATGAAGTATGTTATAGGGGAATTCATGCATAGGGTGGGAGACTGGACTAGCTGATCTCTCTAAACTCCCTTCCCAGCTCTAATGTTCCATGATGTTGTGAGTTACATATGCTTTTCTAAAATAGTAAGCTGAGAGGAAGACATGCTTTTGTGTTCCACACAAATCTTATGAATACCTCTCTGCTGAGGAACTTGCATAAGGCCATTCTATGACAGCCCCTTTTTCTTCCCTCCTCATCTCACATCACTAAGATATTTTCTCTCATTATCTCCTCCTTCACTTTGTCTTAGATGAGCCAAGACCAACCCCTCTACATGTATCCTTGACCCCATCCCCTCTCTCCTCTCCAGCAAATTACCCCTATTATCATCTCTTTTTTCCATCTTTTCCTATACAATGGCTTCTATTTTTCTGTCTACAAACACACTCACGTCTTCCCTACCCTTAAAAAACTCTTCACTTGATCCTATCATCCCTGATGGCCATAGTCCTGAACCTCTTTTGTTTTTGGTTAAACTTCTTGAAGAAGCTGTCTGTCCTAAGTGTTTCTACTTCATCTCCTCTCACTCTTTTCTAAACTTTCTGCATTTTAGCTTCTGATCTCATCATTCAACTGAGACAGCATGTTCCAAAGTTACCAATGATCTCTTGCAATGTTAAAAAGGGAGGGAATGGTTCCTGAAAAGTGACAGTGCCACACAAGAACAACAGATGCAAATGGGGAATAGCATAAGTATGTGAGGCCCATTGCCCCACAATTCCATAAGCAACACACAGTTGGTGGTTCTGACATGCACTGACTGGGATGTATGTTTCAAACAAAGGCCCAGAGTCACTCCTCAAACTTAGAGATTCTAGACAAAGAACTGGTATGGTACCACAAAGAGATTGACCCACTGGAGGGTGAGGCAGCAGGTGGTATGAACCACAGACATGAAGATATTCTCTGAATTATTGCATAGTAAGGAATGATAGGCAGGAAGTCAGGAAAAATAACTCTAATTACACCATGCATAAATGTAGCTGGGTAGAGGGAAGGATGTCTGATTTCCAGGTTAGTTAGGCCTTAGCATACATGCATCCCGGGTTTTGGGAATAAACCAGTCAAACAAAGTTTCACTGGCTCACACCTCTTAATTGGCAGATTTAACAGCCTTTTCTCTCTTTTCATCACTTTTGACCTCTCTGTAGGATTTGATACTGTTGATCTCCTGGACACTGTCCTCTAGGTTTTTGTGACACTCCTTTTACCTGTCAGACTGCTCCTTCCCAGAGGCTTTTTTGTTGATTAGTCATCTATATAATGACCACTAACTGTGGTTGTGTGCTTATGGCTCTTTCTTGAGCCCTCTTCTTTTTTCCCCTCTATACTATCTTGTTTGGTGTTCTCATTAGTTCTTTTGGATTTGGTTGTAATCTCTATGCAGGTAATTCCCAGATATATCCCAGATATATCCAACCCTGGGCTCTCTCCTGAAGTCCAGTCTCACAACACTTACTAACTTTTGAAATTCTTGAACTAGATGTCTCAAAGACACCCCAAGTTCAGTGTGTCTAAAACAAAACTTATTATCTTTGCTCCCTAATTCTTCCCTCTTCCCAATGTTCCTATTACTGTCTAGGGGCACTACCGTTTTCCAAGTCACCAAGGCTCACAGCCTTGAGGGTGATATTTGACTCCTCACTCTTCCTCATCCCACATTACTGATTTGTTGTCAAATGGTGTCATTTCTATCTTCACAACTTTTTTTGTCTACATCCCATTCTTTCCACTTACACAGACACCACCCTAGTTCAAAACCTCTATTACCTCTTGCCTTTATTAGTGCAATAGTCTTCTGGTTGGTCTTTCTATCTCAAGTCTCTACCCATTCCAATCTGTCCTTCACTCAGTTGTCAAAGTGGTTTTCCTAAAGTGTGAGTTGAACCATGCCACTCTCTTCTGCGATAAACTCCAGGGGCTCACTGTCTCCTCCAGGATCGAATATAAAGTCCTGAGTTTGGTATTTAAAACTCTTCATAACTTGGCCCCTTCCTACTATAAGGGCTGGAATTGCTTGAGCCAATCAATTACCCCACTCCTCTTAAAGTGGTATTATGTTCTGGTAAATATCAGGTGAGAACAATCAATAAATCAATTAGAGATGTAAATGTGGCTTAAGACTCTCTACCAAATCAATCAAATCAATTCTATGTTTTATACTAAGTGGGAAAAATCCTTGATCAATTCATCCACTGGATGAAAGGGAGTAATGATGCACAGGAGGTGTGGTGATATTGGCTGAAGAAACCTGGTCACACTCTGGGCCTTCTCTTAAAAAGCAATTTTGTCCCTGAGCATGTGAGGGCCTGGCCCCCTAGAGAGCCATTCCAGTCAGGTTCCTGTGAGGGACACAAGGAGGAGAGGAGAAGAAAGAGAGGGAAATGCAGCCATTGTAGAACAGAAGGATTAAGGACCTGGAGAGCTGAGGCAGAGAAGGTAGAGACTGAGGAGGGGGAAGGACAGAGAACCACTAGCCCAGAGGAACCTTGGTGCAGAAGATCCCACTGAGGCCACTTGATTAACCATCTCCTCAAAGCCTGAGGGAAGTTCAAAGAAAAGGTCAGGTCTTTCTCCATTTTTCCTTCCTGGTGCTCCATGGTTATTAGATACTAACATTTTTTGCTAACTTCTTTACCTAAACATTTCTGGTAACTTGTATTTTGCCTCAGTCACAGAGGTTGGCTAGAGCTAAATAAATACAGGGTGTCCTAAAAGTCTTAGTGTGATTTTAAGCTTTAATAGATGATTATCTTAATTGCTTAAATTAAGGCAGAGAATGGAGCCTCTGTTGAAATGGGTACTTTGAGTGACCGTGATGGTACTCCTCATGTTTTGATTAATCTAAATCCCCTAAAGTAGAAGGGTAAGAAGCTAAGGGAACTTGAGGTCTGCACCTGCCTTCTTTGCTTCTAACCAACCTTTCCAATTCACTTATCGTTGACTTGCCTCCAAATCCTCTGCTCTCCAGCTAAACTGGTCTGCTTCCTGTTCCCTGCACATGATGCTCCATCTCCCATCTCAGGGTTGAGGCACTGTTGCCCACACCTAGAATGTTTTCTCTCCTCATCTCCACCTCATGGTTTTTCTGGTTTCCTTCAAGACTCAGCTTAAATGCCATCTTCTACAAGAGGCCTCTTTCAGTTCTTCCAACTACTAGTACCCTCCCTTTTGAGGTTACCTTCCATCTATTGTTTAAATGTTGTAGATGTTGAGTTATTTACATGTTGTGTCCCCGATAGAATGTGAGCTCCTTGAAGGTGGGGGTATTTCTGCCACTCTTTCTATCTTCTGCTTATAGCACATAGTGCCTGGCACAGAACAAACACTTAACATAATTTTTGACTGACTGATATAGCTTAGCTTCTAAAGAGGATAGTCATAGAAAATGAAATAGGAGATCATATCTATGATCAAGTGTCATTTTTATGTTGTTACAATTTTGCAGTTTAATTTATGAAAAGGAGTTTAACTCAAATAGTTCCCAACTACAACACAGTGAGCCAAGAGCAGGTTCCCTCCCCTTCAGGAAAGGAGAGTGTGGAGGTAGCTTCTTTATCTGGCCTAAAGTCAAATGGGAAAGAAATCTCATTAGGTCATCTCTAAATTTGATATTCAGTTACTCACCCAATCCCGAGTCCTAAGGAGGTTACTTATCAGTATTTTTGATCTCCAGAGAATGTTGTTCTCAATGAATAAAAGCAGGATGAAGAAAAAAAAGCCAGAGACAATCAACGAGGTTATAAACTTTCCAATTCCTGGAGTTTTCCATGCATAGAAATTATCTTCATAATCTATATCTGGGGATGTTGAAAGAAATTATGTTCATTTTAAAACCCTGAGCTTGTTTCACCATGTTTATTAACATGTTTCACCATGTTTAGCTTATGAAAGATTCCCATGTCATTTCCCAAAGAGGGACCTAAATGACTTGGAGAGAGCAAAGCAAGTCATTCACCGCAGCCACATTAATTCACCTCTCTACCAACCTTATTCTCCCTGATCTGTAGGGAACATTCACGGTGGGTCCACAGAAGAGGTAAATTTGTTTGTCTATTTGTTTCGGTGAGGCAGTCAGGGTTAAGTGACTTGCCCAGGGTCACAAAGCTTGTAAGTGTCAAGTGTTTGAGGTCAGATTTGAACTCAGGTCCTCCTGACTCCAGGGCCGGTGTTCTATCCACTGTGCCACCTAACTGTCCAAGATAAATGTTTAGAGAAGGGTTTTGGACTATGTACAACAAAATCAATATTAGGTTTCTGAAAGGGAAGGATACCCAAGCTTCTTTCATATCCACCATTGCAATACCAGTCTTGTTCACAGCAAGGTTCTTTACATTCTACTCTTTCATGGTGTACTAAAGCTAAAAATATGAACTGAAGACTTCCCAAGGTCAATATTAGAGCTTAATAATACCATCACTAACAATATTCCCAAGCTACTACCATAATAGTAAATAGAGTAGGATCTCTAGGACTCTTAGAGTGCTTATGACAAGGAATGCAGATGTATTAACTTGTAATACCCAGAAACTACTCCTAGGCAGCTCCAACAGCAAAAATCCATTAATGTTCTTATTATTTTTCCTTCTGCCTAGTTTTCAGGATGTTAAGAGAAAAAGTCATGGTTTCTGCCTGCTTCAGGTTAAATCTTTTGGACGACGAGAACGCCGGTAAGTTTATTATTGTTCTAAAATGCTCAGCCTTGTCCTACAGGCCTGAAAAGGTTAATATGCTTTGATTTTTGGAAAACCTTCTCAATATTCAGGAGGGCATATTGCCTTGTGCAAAGTTGTTCAATAAATATTGAATTAAGTTGCTCCATGAACCTTTGACCACTATGAATTTATCTTGTGTCTTCTCATAGGGCCCAAGGTGCTTCACAAAAATTTTCCCCCATGGTATAAGTTACTTCTAAACTGACAGTAGTCCTTGAAGACTCTACTCCTTTAGAGGAGAGAGAAACAAGCTTTACTTGTACCTTCAAACTCTTTTCCTAAATAAGCAGTTAAGAGAAGGGTTTGATTCCATTGGCCATGGTCAGAGTGGGGATGGGTGAGCTGAGTGGATACTCACTTGCCATTTTACAATGAAGGGCTGCAGTAGCAGAGGAGGTGCAGTATTTCATGGCCTCAAAGTTGTTGTAGAAACTGCTAAGGCACATTCCTAAGCTGTGGTTAGGTGGCAGGAGGAATAATTTATCCAGAAGTTTATAGAGTTTTTCCAGTCTTAATGCTATGAATGAAAACAGTATAAATTAAATAATTTTGCAGTCCTTGGTTCTTTGTATAAATTGTGACTTCACAATTTACTGTGACATGACTTCAACTGGATATCCTCTCATCTTCCTATTCCTTCACTGGTTCCTCTTTCCTCTCTTATCCCCTAAGCCATCTTTTTTATACTTTGAAACATTATTTACTTTCATGGCCTCAACTATTACCTCTATGTATATAACTTTAAAATTTGTATCTCCAGTCCTGACTTGCCTCAAACCCTGGACCTGCATTTCAAACTGCCTGTTGGATATCTCTTCTCTGATGTCCTGCTGGCATCTCAAATCCAACATGTAAAAAAAAAATGAAATCATCATTCCTTTCTCAAAATCTGTTTTTCTTCTGACTTCCTTGTGTCTATCAATGTTAACATTATCCTCTCAGTCTCAAATCTTGAAATTTCACTATCAATTTTGGATTCTTTTTTCTCCTTTATCCCTCTAAAAGTCAGTCACCAAGTCCTTGGGCAGCAGTGAAATACAATGGAAAGAATTTGAAGTCAGAGTACCTAGGTTCAATTCCCCACTATGTCAGTTACACTGGTATGAATTTGGTTAAGTCACATAACCTCTTTGAGACTCAGTTTTCTCATCTGTAAAGTGAGAAGGTTAGAAAATCTATAAGGTCCTTCAAGTACTAAATCTCTATTCCTATTAATTCTATCTCTGCAGGGACTCTTGCGTCCATCTTTACCACTTGATTCTTATTGCTGCTAATCTGACTTCCCTGTTTCAGTCCTTTGCTTTAATGTATGTTACTCACTACTACAATATTCATCTTCCTAAAGCTTAACTCTGTTTGATGTCATATGCACTTAGAAATCATTAATGGCCATAGAAGTACCCAAATTCCTTAGCCTGGTGTCAAGGCCCTTCACATTATCACCCTAATTTAACATTTCTAACCTTTATCTTCTATTAACCACCCTTCCTATCTTCAACTGCAGTAAAAGTGGTCTACTTTATTTTGAACTTTACTCATGTATTTAAAGTTCATGCTGTTCTTTCTGCCTGGAACACCTCCTTAATATTAACTTTACCTATATAAACCCCACTCAACCTTACATTCTGGTTAGGCCTAATTGTTCCATTTAATAATCCTAAGTAGAAACAAACTTCACGAGAACACGAAGGTAGGGATGGGAATATTTTCTTTTATTATCTCCCTCAGCTTCTAACATGACACATACTTAAACATATAATAAGTATGTGATTAGTCTTTTATATCTAACTCAAAACTCATATCCAGGAAATTCCATCTAAAATATTACTCTTACCTGAACTTCTACAACACTTAATATCTATAATATTCATTTAACATTTATTTGTCAGTTATTTTTTCATGTGTATATAGTAGAAGATTGATCAGTGAACTCTGATCAATGGAGTTCGTCCAATCAAATTGATGAAATTATAAGCTGTACTGGGCAGGCTTTAGAGAAAATGGAATGCCAGGGTTCACCTGCCTTTGATGTTTATTACTTGTATGATCTTGGGTAAGGCACTTTACTTTCTTTGGCTTTAGTTTCCTCATCTATAAAATGAAGCGGTTGGATTGGATGACCCCTAAGGATGAGGATGACCGCTTTCTGTTGTAGGTATGATCTTATTACTGATTTCAGTTTTTGAGGTGGCTCATTTACATCTTATAATTTCATCAAATGAACTGTAGGATATCCAACTGATTAACACTCACCTTCCCCTCTTTCCACTGCTGTATGTCTAGCATATTTATGTACACTGAGATCTTAGACTTCAGGGCCATTATTCTTATACTTTTCTTTCCTTCAGACCTTCATAGATAATAGATACTCAATACAAATTCGTACAACATTAACATCAGCAATGCATCAGTAGGGTGGTTGTTCTCAGTGAAATTCAAATTCAAAATCTCAAAGCCACGCATTCTTCTTAGATGACCCTGTTTCCTTCCTAGCTCTTTTTAAGGCAACAATATTATTTCGCAGATTGACACTATAGCAAATGGATATACTGGCATACATTAGGATCTTTCATTATATGTAAATAACCTAGTAGTGAAATGGAATTCTCCCTAATCTTGGCCTTAAAACCAGGAATTATTTCCAGCCCTTGCACAAGTTTTTCTTAGAGTTTCCTCATCACATCTGTATGATAAAATTCTAAAAGAGAACTGCCAACACAATCTCCAAATATTGACCTCAAAATGTTTCCTACAGGTGAGGTGCCTAGGGAATATGATTTCAGTATGTAGGAGTTGCTACATACATCACAATAACCTGTATTCCTAAATCAACATTAGCAGATTTGGTTTAGTCCTATGGTCTAACTTTTGTGAAGGATAGACTTGACTTGACATTAAGGGACTTGCTTGCTCAGTGATGTTCCCTTAATGAGCTGATTATTCTTTACTTGCTCATTATTACCCCTGAGAAAGGACTCAGTATGTGTTTGTAGGGAGGAAGTAAATGCTAATGCCCTCACCCTTGAAGCTTGTGACATAAAGGATGATTAAGGTGATAATGCCTGAGAAAAAGTTGAACATGATGAGTCTTATGAAGGCAGTGGCACCTGCCATGAAAAAGAAGCTCGTTAGGTACATGAGTGGAATGATGGACCAGCCATACAACATTAACATCAGCAATGCATCAGCAAGGTGGTTGTCCTCACTGAAAGCTTTTACATCAAAGATTCTGAACAGCCCCTAGAGCACAGAGACACAGTTTTTAGAGAAGAAAACGTGATCAAAGAAAAAAAGAAATTAACTTAGAATAGCAAAATGAGATATCAATTCCCTAAAGCTTGGGGCAGCAAGGGGGGATATATGGGGATCTAGTTCTAGATAAGAACACTTCTGTTTCTGTGAACTTCCTATTACTGAGGAAAGATGAAAAAAAAAGAGCAGCTAAACTGTACTTATTAGCCTCAGAAACTGAGAGTGCTGAAGCAGGTTCTAGACATTATTGGCCAAAAGGAAAACTTGTGATATGTAGGAGAATGCACCCCAACACATAATACTCGCTACTCACCACCAGCAGCAAACAGGGAATAAAGAAGACAATGAGATCCCACAGCAGAAAAGATAGCCAGAAATGAATGACATAGACTCCACTGACAAACTGGTTGTGTTTTGCCTTTATGACTCTTTCACTAACTGCAAAGATAGAAAATGTACTGGCCAATGAGCCCATGCCATACAACATGTTGATAGCAATGTCAACTCCTTTATGGCCCCTACAAGAGACAGGATAGGAAAAGAAAAGATACCATAACCTTGGTTAGTTGGGAAAAAATAATTTCTATTGGCAGTCATGTTCCAGAACATAACATGTAAACAGAATTTTTAAAAATAACTGCATATGGTAAAGTCCTGAGGTTTGAGAAACTCAACCCCAGGAAAAGGGAAGCTACACATACCAAAAATACTGCTCATTTGCAGCTTGCATGGCACTTCGAGGCTGAGGATGATTGGAGATAGTAATGGAGGCTTGTGGGCCAGATAGCAACTTGAATAGAATATTGTCTACCACCGTCACTGCCACAGCTTGAGTATGATAGCCCTGATTGTTGAAGAAAGTGGTGATTAATGTTTGATTTCCATGTTGTTTGACGGAAATTGCTACAAGGCAGTTCTCATCAAAGCATTCCCTCTGGATTGCCTTAGAAAGCAGTTGATCTTCCAGGTTTCCTAGGAAGAGAAAGCAAAATCATTCCTTTAGACAATATACATTTGTCCTACTGGAATTGGAAACAAAGTAGTCCATCAATAGAGCAATAGTAAAACATCATGTTTGAGACTGTTGGTAAGGTGGCCCTCCAACACTGGCTTCTCAGGGTCCTTGCCAACTCCAACTTCAATGTTAGGCACAGGTCTCACCTCCTAAGAGGATAACTGGTAAGAGAGAAGGGAGAGCTGCTTCATTTTCATTTTGTCTTTTCTGTCAAGAAAAATGACTCAAATTAGAAAAGGGAAAAATGGTCAATATGGAATTTATACCCAAGATGAATAAGGGGACAAAAAGAGCAATTAGCTGCTCCTTAAAATTATCTGGTCCAGATCAATATATCCTAAGACACTAAAGGAGTTGGTGAGTATGAGGTGGAACCTGAGAGTTGTTTTGATTTGCATTTCTCTTATTTTTAGTGATTTGGAGCATTTTTTTCTCATGTTTGTTGCCAAATTACCAATTTTTTGAGAACCGCCTATTTATATTGCTTTTTTTCTTATATATTTGAATCCATTCTCTATATATCTCAGATATCAGACTTAATAGAGAAACTTGCTTCCAAGATTTTTTCCTCAGTTTCCCTTTTAAATTATAACTGCATTTTGTTTGTGCAGAAGCTTTTTGCTTTTTTTGTGTAATGAAAATTGTTTTTTTTTTCTTCTGCCATCCTCTCAATTCTATGCTTGGTCAAGAACTCTTTTCCTATTATTTTAAAAGCTAACACCTTCCCTATACCCTTAATTTGTTTATGTTGTGATCTTTTATAGAAAGTTACATATCTATTCAGAGCTTAATGTGGTATATAGTTCAATAGATGGTCTAAACCTAATTTCTGCAAGACCACTTTCCAGTTTTTCCAGTAATTTTTGTCAGTTAGTGACTTACCCTAGGAATTGGGGTCTTTGGGTTTATCTAATACTCTGTTATTGTTTTCATTTGCTTCACTATCTTGTGTACTTAATCTATTCCACAAATCAATTCTTCTGTTTTCTAAACAGTACCAAATAGTTCTGATGATTAATTTTTTGATGATTAATTTTTAATAAAATAGTTTGAGATTTGATAATGGTCCTCCCTCCCCACTTCTTTTTTGGGGGGTATTATTTTTCTGAAGATAATTGATTCTTTATTTCTTCAAATTAAATGTTATCATTTGTTCTAGTACATAAAATAATAATTTGGTAGTTTGATTGGTATGGCATTGAACATTGTCATTTTTATTATATTGGTACTGCTCAACCGTAAGCAATTCACATTTCTCCAAATATTAAGGTCTTTGTTTCTAGAAAGTATTTGGGAGTAGTATTAATATAATTTTCATGTGTGTCTTTAACCCTAATTCCTAAATATTTTATACATTCTGTAGTTGCTTTGAATGGGATTTTCTCTTTTCAGCTCTTCCTGTTAGGTTTTGTTGGTAATACATAGAAAAGTCAATGATATATTTTGATTTATTTTACAACCTGCTACTTTGATGAATTTATTGTTTCAATTAATTTCATTCACTCTCTCAGGTTTTCTAGAACTTCATATCATCTGCAAACAACAAAAATTTTACATCTCATTTTCCTATCTTTATTCCCTCAATTTATTTTTCTTGTCTTATTGCAATAGTGGACATTTGTAGTACTATGTCAAATAATAATGGTGATAATGAACTTCCTTGCTTTACCCTAGTATTAATGGAAATGCCTCTACTATTTCTCCATTACATATAAAGCTGTTTCTTGGTTTTAAATAGATGATATTTGCTATATTAAATAAAGGTACATTTATTCTTATGCTTTTTAACCTTTTTATTATATAAAGTGGTGTTGGATGATGTCAAGAGCTTTTTCTATATCTATTGATAAAATCAATGTGATTTCTATTATTTTTTAAGTTAATATAGTCAATTGTTTACACTTTTCTTATTTTCAGAGCAACCCTACATTCCTGATATAAATTCAACATGGTCAAAGTGTATAATCTTCTAAATATGTTGCAGTATCCTCTTTCCTAATATTTTATCCAAGATTTCTACTTAACTATCCAATGGAGACATAGATCTAGTTTTTTCTCTCTCTTTACTTGCCTCACCCCGGTTTAGCTATCAAGACCTTTTCTGCATCATTGAAGAAAATGGATAGAAGTCTGATTTTCCTGGTTTTTCCTAACAGTTTATTTAATATTAGAATTAATTGTTTTTTGAATACTTGATAGAATTCACTTATAAATTAATCTGGTACTTTTTTTCCTCTTCCTTTGATTTGGAAGCCTACTTATGGCTTGTTGAATTTCTTTTTTTGAGATTTGATTATTTACATCCTCTATTTTTCTCGATCTTTTTATTCTTAATATTTTTGTAATTATTTATTCATTTCAATTGTTAATTGTCAATTTTGTTGGCATATAATTGAGAAAATATTTCTAAGAATTTCTTTTTTCAGTTTTAATACTGGAAATTTTATTTTCCTTTGCAAATTCAGATTAGCACACACTATTTCATTAGTTTTTTTAAAATACTGCTTTATTTATCAATTCAATTTTTTACCATTTAAAATTTTATTAATCTCTTATTTGATTTTGAGACTCTCTATTTTTGCCTTTAGTTGAAGTGTTTTGATTTATTGCTTTTCTAGTTTTTTAGGTGCATGGATTCATTCTTTCTCTTTTGTTGATGGAAGTGTTTATAGACATAAATTTCTTCCTAAGGACTACTTTGGAAGCATCCCTAAAGTTTTAGTAGTTTGTCTCACTGTTGATTTCTTCTTTGATGAAATTATCTATTATTTTTAGAAAGATAAAAAATATCTAGATAAACATTTATTAAGTATACCATGTTAGGCATTGTGCTAACGTCTGGAATACAAATACAAAGCAAGGAAGATAGTCCCTGCCTTAAGGGAGATTATATTCTAATGGGACAAGAAAACAAATACAGGAGAGGTAGAAGACAGGGTGAGGGATATGTATATGGTGGCATGATTTAGAGATGTCTGGGTAGTGGCATGGAGGCTTATTCTAGGCAAAATAAATAAATGACTTATCTATTAGAGGCCCTGGGACCTGGGGCAGAGTACAATATTCTAGTTGGGATAGATGGTCCAAGTGTGGGTAGTTTGGATTGAAGATTATTTGTTCTTTGATCATTAATTTTTTAGGATTAAATTATTTAGCCTAGATTTAAGTTTGAATCCTTTTCATATGACCCTTTATTTTTATGTTTATTTTATTATGCTAAGTAAATGCCATATTTAGTATTTCTGCTTCTCTGCAGTTGTTTATAAGATTTTTATGACTAGCACATGGTCATTTCTTGTAAAGGTGTCACAGACATCTGAGTTTTATCTATGTTCCTTTTATTGCCATTCAGTAATTTTCAGAGATCGAGAATATCTAACTTGTCTAAAATTCTACTTAGGTCTTTCATTTCTATCTTGGTTATCTTTTTGTAAGCCTTGTCTAGGTCTAAAAGAGGCATGTTGGAAATCCTCAACCAAAATAATCTTGCTATCTATTTCTATAATTTGATTATTTTCCTTTATTTACTCTGAAATTAAGCCATTCAATGCATATGCATTAAATACTGATATTATTTAATTGTTTGTGGTGACTTTAAGTATAATGTGATTTTTTTGTTGATCTCTTTTAACCATGCTTATTTTCACTGTTGCCTTATAGAGACATTTGCTACCCCTGCTTTTGTGAATTTGCCTGGAGTACATTAAATTTTACTCTAAAATGAAGGGAAACTTCATTATATATCTGTGAATCTGCACATTTCAAATGTTTCTTGTACAGCACATACTCTGGGGTTACTCTCCCAACATCCATTTGCTCTAGTAAGTCAAGTCCCCATAAGGCAGCTAGCTGCTCTCTCAGAATTCTAGGGATAGACTAATGTTATATTTTACAAGGCCTTATAGGCATGCTTATGTCAGTGATATTATCTAGACTTAATTAGCTTTTAGAAAGAGGTATTTACTAACTTTTGAATACTATGGTAAGAAAAATTGGCACAAAATATACCCCACAAAATCTATGATGTTCACCCATCAGTACACACAAAGTTCAAGGGAAAGAGGATTCAAGCTAAGAGAACATATGGCAAAAGTGTAACTTAGAGCTCCTAGAAATTCCTTTTCCCCTTTTGTGGGGTACTCATAAAGTTTCCCTTGGGTGAGACATAGCTTTTCTGAGGGGTTCCTTGTAGAACCTTGAATTCACTTTTTTCTCATTTCATTCAATTGGTCCTCAGCTGTTGATGTAGATACTACTTTGAGATGTTTAGGTGACAGAGCCAGGATGCTAATGGAAAGTTTAAAATCCTTTGGACACTTAAAAAAACTCAGAAAGATCTCCCTTTGCCTAGGGTTGGAGAGTAGGGAGTAAAATAAGACTGAAAGTGAGGCTAATGCAGTGGCTCTTTTTTCCTCCCAAAGCAATTTTTTTCTCAAATATTTGGCTGGAAGACTTCTACCCTAAGCTGCCAGATACTCAGATCCCTGAGTTCTAGATTGCTCTATTTTGTGCAAAATCTATAAGGAATGAGTGAATATCTCCAGCCAATATTGACACCCTTCTACATGGTATCATTTCATTTTATACAATGGCTTGTAAGGACTTCTAAATTAAGCAAGGACTTTTGATATCTATTATAAAGTCTTTATTGGTTTAATAGAGGTATTTAGACCTTTTTCATGCCTACTTAATATCTCTGATTGATTCACTTAAGAAGTTCGGGTCTATAATTAGTGATAGGGGTATTGGGATCAGGGGCGAGAGTAAGCATTTCTTTTTCTTAATTTTTAAAAATTTTTTATTAATTTATTTTGATTTATCAATAATCACTTCCATATGCTTTTGAGTTTAAAATTTTTCTCCCCCTTCCTCCCCAACACCCTCCCCAAGACAGCACACAATCTGATATAGGCTATACATTTACATTCATATTAAACGTATTTTCACATTAGTGATG